CCCCAAAACCCCAAAACCCCAAAACCCCAAAACCCCAAAACCCCAATTTTTAAGAGGATAATTGAAATCTCTCGTTCTAATGATTATCTTCCTAAGTTCCCCCATTCAAGGTCTCGGTTTTTCATCATCAAAATCTTCTGAAACCTCAGGATTAATAAATAAATTATGAAATGAGCACCAAATTCTTTGAAGAGTGCTTCTTTTTAGCGATTATATTTTCCAGTACAATTGGGACGTCTTTGATATAGGAGAAATACATCATTTATTGATGCTTTTAAGTGTAAGAAATATCAATGAGAGAAATAAAATTATCCTTCTCTACTGTGATAAAGCAAGAGGAGGAGAGCTACAACAAGCCTTTGTTTGTCTCCTGTATAGTCATATTTTCTTTCTCGATATATGCTTGAATTCCATTGTAAAGTCAAATCTCAATTTACTAGCATTTGGGTAGATATCATGTATTTCACAACAATAATTTCTGAGTTAATTCCTGAATAACAAGTCCAAGAGAACAAAAGGAGTATAGAAAGAATTGAAAGCATCTAAAATCTGGATAATTAGTTTAGATACAAAGTATTCAGATCAGATTCTCAGAGAAAATTACAGAGCTTTATCCAAATTTTAAGATAAATGAGTAAAAACTATAGCTTAACTCATTATTTCTTTGTAAGAGATAAAGTAATGAGCTCAATAGAGTTAAAAGCTGCTATAGTCTGATATCCTATCTTCTTTGGATCAACAACGACATACTATATGACACTGAGCCTCACTACTTATAACTCAGCACTAATACTGTCAGACATCTCTTCAGTGTTTGTATTCATATTTGGATTTATGTTGCTTAATAATTCTTTTAGCACGCTTAAATTTATAGCTGTAGCAAATTGAGTCATAGAAGTGGTAATCATTTCTTCTGAGGAAGACAATGTTAAAGCCCCATTCCCGATACTTGGGGATATTATCGGATTCTTGAGTTATATTTGACTTGAACTCTATTCAACAATGATCTAAGAATTAGGGGTTTTGGGGTTTTGGGGTTTTGGGGTTTTGGGGTTTTGGGGTTTTGGGGTTTTGGGG